TGGATGCTAGGACTTATATTTTTACATATGGATCCCCTTTAATTGGCCAAACAGGATTCATTACTATTGTAGTGTTCGGTTGAATTCTTCTAAAGTATACAATTTACCTTTCTCGAGTTCTCATTAAGTTTATTTAACTAATTCAATTACATATCTCTATATGATTCTACCTTAGATGAATGAAGTATTTGTTCTAAGAATTCATCTAATGACCGTAATAATTAGTATAGGTATCTCTAGACATTATACTAAATTACCGGATTTATTATATGGTCTAAATCTAAAACTCACATCTTGATTCGTAATAGATTCACAAAAACATTGAATAATTGGCCAAAGAATTCAAAGCATTAAATTCATGAATAAAATCAACGCATATGCATTTAAAGAACTAGAATCTTGAATAAAAGAAAAAACAAAACTCAAAAAGCTTACATTGTTCGCCCTAATAAAAGATTTAGATTCTCATAATATAGGAAGAAAACCAANTAAAAGAAATAAATGGTCACACATAGATAACATTGTTTGCCCTAACTATGAATTTAGGTATTCATAATAATGAAAGAAAAACAAAAAGATATTGACGTACAAGAAATGGATAGCTTGATTGTGAATTCTCACTTATTGTAATGATGTCCTTAAAACTACATGGCATTTGACTTTATAAAGTATACTCTTATATGTATGAGACTTACGAAAATATCAATAAGAGCTATTTTTTAAATCATCATGTTACTACAGTCATTAAAGGTTGATGAATATTTCATATGAAGACGATATTATTTGAAAATTATACAAGACAACATATGACATACTTCACTGGAATTTGCAATATTGAAAATATTGACGTACAAGAAACGGATAGCTTGATTGTGAATTCTCACTTATTGAAATCGGTAAGAGTAGCTGTACTCTTTTTCCTTTGATCAAATTTTGTCCCACTGAATTTTCTTGACAGTTTTATCGAGACAACATTGTATTACTCCAAATTATTTGTATACTTTTTTCATCTGTTGGCATTTTTGTCCCATCGGGTTTTTTATCAAACGAGGTTTCAATNTTTCTCCAAATTATTTGTATACTTTTTTCATCTGTTTGCATTTTTGTCCCATCTGGTTTTTTATCAAACGTGGTTTCAATAAAATAGTTATTGTTCAAATAATCATTAAAAGGAAAATCTTGTAAAACTATAAGATAAATATTAATGATTATGCAGTTGTATCACCATACATAAATAAGTTTTATTTAGTTTAGAAAATCTATTTTATTTCAATTGTAACTCTCATTTTGAACCTTTTAAATACGTCTTGATTATTAATAAAATACACATTTGAGTTTTGACTCATTTATTTGCTTTCATTTGCTGTCTAGTTTATAACACAGCTCATTGTACAACTACAAACTGCAGAAACCGCCCCTATTCAGCATAAATTCCCCCATTCTGCCATTTTTCTCTTATGCTAAATATAAAA